TCCTGGCATGGTGCTGTGTGTTAATGTGCTGGACTGCAATATTGGTTTGAACTGCAAGCTTGGTGGTTTAAGCTCACTAGCTGTTCCTCGGAAACCCTATACAGGGTTGCTGGGGTCAGAACTGACTTGATGGCACTTAATAACAACAACACCCTTATTGAACAAGGTCAGTGGTTCAAACTCCCCAATCGTTCCTCCAAAATCTTACATAGGGTCACTATGAGTCAGAACTGACTCAACAGCACCTAACAACACAACAATAACATTTATCTTGGGGGAAGTGGTAGAATTCTCACCTTTCATGTGGGAGACTTGAGTTCAATGGCCATCAACAGCCACCACCTAACTGTCAATGGAGGCTTGAGTGTTGCTATGATGCTGAATTGGTTTCAGTGGAGCCTCCTGACTAAGGCGGACTGAGAAGAAAGGCCTGATAACCTACTTCTAAAAACCAACCCTGTAAACCATATGGAGCACAGTTTTACTCCGACACACAGGAATTGATTCCAAGGCAACTGGTGTAAGGTACTGAAAAAAGTTAAAGTTCTTTTGTCCACCCTTTATATAGTCTCCAGAACTTTGGGGGTGACTGAAAATCATGGCCCATAGAATGTGAACCCTTGAGCACCAACAGGAGAGTCTTATTTGCCTTGGTTTTTCTTTGGTTGTTATCAAGTGCCGTCGAGTCTATTCAGACTCATAGCGTTCCTGCATAGGGTTGTTCTAGTTGCTGTGAACTGATAATACAGCAGCCTGAAACACCCCCTGGAAGTTGTTTCACATTCTCCACGGACAGTTCTGATCATGCAAACTCCTTTGAGACTTAAGAAGCCACTTCCCCATTATCCTGCTTACTCGAAGACCTAAGATTGAACTGGGCTACCTGTCAGGCATTCCTAACATTTCTTGGAAATGATTCCCCAGGGAGCTTGGACTTGCCCTGTAGCACCTTCTGCCTTCTGTATTATTCGAATTGTGGAGAGATGGAGGAAAACAGGACACAGGCATTTTACCATTAATGTCATTCTTGCAAAGAAATATTACAAACTTCTAACTCAGTTTTACATTTATAGATCCAAAATGCCTGTGGGAAAACATGAATGGGGTGGAAGGGGAATAGAGATCCTCTCTCAAGATCATGTATTGAAATTTGGGGGGCAGGGGAGTATATAACATTCAAAAGCTCCCAGGTGATTTTGATCTAGCCTCTCCTGAACTCATTACTTTGTCATTTTAAGATCGCCATTGCGGTTCCTTCTGTTAATCTAGTAAGTAATGTTTGAACAATAAATATTTTACAAGAGTAATTATTAATAAATAATTTATAAATTGGGAGTGCGTGGTTCTTTTTCCCTTACCTCCTTGATTTTGTTTGTAGACTAGCTTCACAGGAAGATTTAACTGCATTTCTTTATTTTAAAAAGCATTACCTAGACTGAAAATATGGCAGCAATACATCATGAAACTGCCAGTGAGTGCGTAGCATGGCCCACAGCTATAAACATTTATACATTACTGATTGCTTAAATTGTGGCTACTGGAGCAACCAACTACATTTCAACCTAAAGTGGAGGTACTGATGTATTCATTGATTATATTACAGGCAAGTATTTTCTTGAAGGAAAACAGCACTGTTGTACAGAAAGATGGATTATATTGGTGTCTGCTTAGAAGTCTCCTATTCTAAATTAAACCTGACCCTATGCCTAAGGGGATTGCATCATTTGAATTAAAAACAAACAGATAAATGCTGATAATTCTCACTCTCTATCTTCTTGTTTTTCCTTCATCACCATTTGTTCTAGGAATAATAGCACAATGTTTCTTGAGCCACAGGGTCCACTCCTGACGCAAGACTATAGACCAGGGCATAAGCTTTTCCCTTGTTTCATTCAATTCCAGGGGACTCAATGGGTTCCTGTCTTAGTTATTTAGTTTGTTAGTACTTCCATAACAGACACACCACAAATGGGTGGCTTTAATAGACAGAAATTTATTTTCATAGTTTCTTGTTAAGTATCATCAAGTCAGTTCTGACTCATAGCAACCCTGTATAGGGTTTCAGAGAATGGTTGGTAAGTTTGAATTGCTGCAGTTTGTTGTAGTTTGTTGTTGTTGTTGCTATTGCCGTGGAGTCGGTTCCGACTCATAGTGACCCTGTCCCTGTATAGGGTTTTCCAAGGAACAGCTGGTGAGTTTGAACTGCCGATACTATGTGGTTTTCAGTCCAGTACTTATCTTACAGCACCGCACCAGGAGTCCTGCTATAGTTTGTTGTTGTTGTTGTTAGGTGTCATCGAATTGATACTGACTCATAGCGACCCTATGCACAACAGAACAAAACATTGCCTGGTCCTGGGCCAACATCACTATTGTTGCCACGCTTGAGTCCATCGATGCTGCCACTTGGCCAATCCATCTCGATGGCAGTCTTCCTCTTTTTCTCTAACTCTCCACCTTACCAAGCATGATATCATCTCCAGCAACTGGTTCCTTCTGACAGTATGTCCAAAGTATGAGAGATTAAGTTTGGCCATCCTGACCTCCAAGGAGCACTCTGGCTGTACTTCTTCCAACACAGATCTGTTTGTTCTGTTGGCAACCCATGGCACTTTCAATATTCTCCTAAAACACAATAACTCAGAAGCATCAATTCTTATTCACTGTCCAGATTTCACATGCATATGAGGTTATTGAAAATACCATGGCTTGGGCCAGGTACACCTTAGTCCTCAAGCTGACATCTTTGCTCTTCAACACTTTAAAAAGGTCTTGTGCAGCAGATTTGCCTAATGCACTACATCGTTTGATTTCTTGACTGCTGCTTCCATGAGTGTTGATGGTTGATCCAAGAAGAATGAAGTCCTTGACAACTTCAATCTTTTCTCCATTGATAAGAATGTTGTTTATTGGTCCAGTGTACTAGAAATCTGAATTCAGGGAACTGGCTCTAGGGAAAGACTTTCTGTCTGTTTGGGCTATTGTAGTTCCTGTTCCTCCTTCCTTGGTGATCTTCCTAGGTGGATATCTTTCCCTTTGTGTGCTCTTCTCCATGACTAATTGGCTATTTTTATATCTCAAAGGTGGTTGACTTAAAAAACACTTCATGCTGGTATAGTCTCATTAGGACAATAATGTCCTATTCTCAAATGGATTACATCTACAAGAAAAGGGATTTAGGATTTGCAAATTTATAAAAAATTACAAATTTTAGGAGGACACAGTTCAATCCATAACACTATTTCACTTGAGCTGGAAGCAAACTTCCAAGAGAGCTCCCATGAGCTAAGAAGATCTCAGATGTTTAATGTCAAGAGATTTTGCTTAAGAAATTAAGAGTTCAATGGCAAAATCAGATTTGAAAACAAAGGTTCTCTTCTAATGTTAGTGGTCAATGACTGTGAAACATGTATTTCTGTGTTGTCTGAGTTCTTTAGTATAAAACTAGTAGAGGAAGGCTTCTGCATTCCAAGAGAGGATTCAAGGATTCTGTTCTCCAATCTCATGCCATGTGAAAACTACCTTGAAGACCAGTGCCAAGTCTGGAACTCATCAAGGAAAACTTCTCTTCTAGTTCCCAGCAACTCTTTTCAATTCTGCATGCAACTTATTCTTTGTGCCTCTAGACCTCTAGGGATCCAGATTTCCAAGTTAAAGGACCATAACATTATAACAGCTGGAAGAGACTCAGATGCTATCTTGCACAATTTTTCTTTGTGCAGCTAAAAAGACTGAAGTCTCTTGTGGGAAATGAGTCCACTAAGACCACTCAGAAGTTGGGGCAGGGCTGTCATAAGCAGCCACATCTCTTGGTCTTTTCCCTGCCCAACACTGCCTTCCTTCAGGTGACTGTGCTTTCACCTGCATTATGCAAATTCAGAGTTAAGGTGCCTTCTAAGTCTCTGAAGTATTTAAATTGGGCACCAGGGACTTGTGGATACCCAATTGCCTGGTCTCCTTCAGAAGACAGAAAGAACCTGCAGCTCAGAATAAACATGCTCCTCCTTAGAATGGCTGGGACAAGGAACTAAAAATAAAGGGTTATGCTCTAACAATTCTATGACTCCATGAATGTGAAATTTTATTTGTGTGCTATATATGATATGCTAAGTTGGAGTCCTAGTGTGGCACTGTGAGTTAATGCTCTGGACTGCAAGGTCGATTTGAATTGCAAGGTCAGTGGTTCAAGCTCACCAGCCACTCTTCAGAAACCCTTTATAGGGTCACTATGAGTCAGAACTGACTCGATGGTGCTTAAAAACAAGTTGCATTCTGTCTCACCACTGAAGAAGGAACTACTTGCTATTTTTTCTCTCAGTTCTCATACAGTAAATCCACAGCCACTCAGTCGATTCTGACTCATAGCAACCCTAGAGGTCAGAGTTGAACTGAAAATATTCCAATAAAGTAACAAATGAGTTCAGTTTCAGAAGACCTGGATCTGAATCTTGGATGAGCCACTTAAAGGTTACATAAGCCTCAATGTCCTGATTTGTACAATGAGGAACATACTTTCTGCCTTGACTAGCACCAGGTCTAGTAAGTGTAGTGTTTAAAGTGTTTAACAAATGATAAATGGTGTCACAATATTTTGGGGGCTTAGGAGCAGCAGGCTGTCCCGTGGATCTCTCTAGTGTCATAGTTACTGCAGTATACAGATGTTAAGACTGTATGGAGGAAAAGTTAGGGGAAGTAGTCCTTGCTTCCTGGAGACCTCTGGAGGCCTGATCAAGTGTGATCTGCAGCTAAGCTTCCCACCTGCTTACTTTACTTAATCAAGTGTCACTACTCAGCCCTGTCTCCGAAGCCCAGCTCAGAGCCTTGGAACTCCCCCTTGGGGCATCCCTCCTTCCCAGCCCTGGCTCTTGGCACCCTGCCTGACTGCCATGGTAACAGATTCCAGGGTGACAAAGAAGGGAGCTGGGTCCTCTTTCCTCCTGGTTCTGCCAATGAGGATTTTCAGACTGTGGAGAACGAGTCTTGCACCTAATCAGGCTCTTTCTGTGTTCTCACTCCGGTGGAGCGCTATCAGCCAACCCTGCCAGCCAGAACAATGTGTACCAGCCTGACCACTTGTGAATGGAAGAAAGTCTTCTATGAGAAGATGGAGGTGGCAAAGCCGGCTGACAGCTGGGAACTCATCATAGACCCCAACCTCAAGCCCAATGAACTAGGCCCTGGCTGGAAGCAGTATCTGGAACAGCATGCCTCAGGCAGGTAGGAATTGACTGAAGAGGGAACCTACAGAGGGGGTCTGAGTCACAATTGTGAGAGGTATGTGGAGCCTGGTCCTGGTGTCAGTTTCACTTGTGGGTCAGTTTAGATAGCAGTGGGGCAGAAAAGAAACTACCAGTTAGTTCAGAGGCCTTGGTTCTAATCCCAGTTGTACCACAGGTTAACCTTGTACATGTTAGGTACCATCTTTGGGTCTTAGCTTTCCATATAAAATGAAAAGTCAGACTATCTATAATGCCTCTGCAATACATGGTACAGCAAATGTTTCCAGATTTTCAGAGTCACTTAAAGAGTGGTTGGAACCTAATAGAAGAGACTCTGAGTCCCACTGGGAAAACTTACCTGGGAGTCAAGAGGCTTGTGCTGTGGTCCTGGATCAAGTCAGTCCAATTCAATCCGATTTGATTTGAATACAGAAACATTTATTGACTACCTGCTATGTGTGGAAGGCTGTCCCTAAAGCTGCCTAGCCCTGTGAACAAGTGTTTTTCTCTCTCTCTAGGTCTCATTTTCAAATTTTATAGGAGGGGTTGGCTTTAGATGATTAATTGAGTCCTTTCCAGTTCTGTTATCTATGTGTCTGTGATGAAAAAATAGCTTTGGGTAGGACTTCCCTCAGGCCTTTAGCGCTCCTGCCTAAGCCCTGAACTTTAGAGGGGCTGCAGACCTCCTATGGAGTGAAGAGTACTCAAGGCCAATGATCATAAAGTCCACAAGTGTCTCTCTCTTCTAGACCGTGATTTAGGACTGGTTGTTAAGTGCCATTGAGTCACTTCTGACTCATAGTCATCCTGTGTAGTGGCTGGTGGGTTTGAACCACTGACCTTGAGGATCAAACTGGCCTTGTGGTTGAACATTTATCCTACCAGGATACTGTTGTTGTTTGCCATCGAGTTGGTTCCAACCAATAGCGACCCTGTATAGGGTTCCTAAGGAGCAACTGGTGAGTCTGAACAATAGACTTTGCAGTTCAAATTGACTCTTCTACTCAGCACATTAACCCACAGCACCATGCCAGGGAATAGGACTACAGAATTCCCTGTCAAATTGCCTCAAGTCTATTTTCTGGGTCTGAGCAGGCCTTTTTTATTGGGTCAACCAATTCTAGTACAGATAGTATTCTTAGGCCCCTGGGTTGGCCAAAGAGTGACTATTTGCAGGAATTGTCAGCAATTGCAAGGTGTGGGCAGAACTTGAATCTATGAACTATGTATGTGTGTGATGCCACTCATGGTATAGCATGATGCTGACTGTGGGAACAAGAAGACTGACTATTATGGGTGGGGAGATTACATTTGCACTTTTGTGCTTAAATCTGAAGATATTAGGGTGAACCTGTCTTTGGGGAATGAATACAGTTGTTTCCATTTAATTCCACTCAATTCAAGAAACATCTATGTGGTCGCCATTACATGCTGGATCTAAGTAGCTAGCTGTGTGTATATGGTAACTCTCATTGTTATGGTAGCTCTCTTACTGCTCAATTTCTTCTTGGAAACATGAAGACTAACTAGATGATTCTTAAGACTCCTTCTTCCTACCCTCAGCTCTGATCCTCTTGGATTTAAGATCTGGGGGTCTGCTTGAAGGAGGGAAACAGATTCAGAAGAGACTAAAAACATGAAGTTCTTGAGTTGGCTGGTGTAAGGGGTGAAAAGGGTTGAGAACCTCAGGCACAGTGGCTAACTAGTTTAGTGGCTGAGCTCAAAGGGCTCAAAGAGCCTCAGGACTTAGATGGTCCTATTCCTGATTGCTGACCCTTGACTCCAGGTGGTGGTGGTTATGTACTGTGGAGTCAAAACCCGGCATAGGGTTTCCAAGGCTGTAAATCTTTACCAGAGAAGAAAGCCTCATCCTTCTCCTGAAAAGCACTTGGTGGAATTGAACTGATGGCCTTGCAGTTAGCAACCAGACACGTAACACACTACATTACTTGTGACTTTAGGTAGGACTTGAGAAGTATTGCCCTTGTGCTCATTCAGGGCACAGGCTCACTTTTCTGGTAGGTCTTGGGATGCTGGGATGCGTTAACACTGGCACTCTGCAGTTCTGACCTAACATGAATATGTGTGTGGTGGGGGAGGGTAGTCCACCTCTGGTCCAGGAACATCAAGCTACTCTGCTTTTCCACCCAGGTTTTGAGTTGTGCTGTGTGTTGTTCTATGCTAATCTTATCAGTCAGCTCTAGGGGTCAGGGCTGGGTTAGCTTCATCTCTATTCCACAGCTTGGGTGGAATGACTCCTGATAAGCTACCAGAGCTCCTTGATAAGCAGTAGGTACTAAATGGTAAATTGAACTGAGTGCCTAAATAATTGTGTCCTCAAGAACATTCTAAAATAGGCCAAGAGAGTGCCAGTGATGAGGGCAGACTCAGCCCAATGGATACACCACTGTCTTGAAGTGTGTGTAACAAGTACCTAGGAGAGGTTATGTCAGGGATGGGAGGAGCCACTCTGGAGGAAATGATGTTGTCGTCAGAGGTGTGCAAACTGAGGGGTAACCACCACACACCCCCTCTCTCTCGTTTCTTGCGGCAGGAGTGCTTGGAGACCCAGATTCGGCAAAACTTACCTGTGTATACCTATGAGGAAGGAGGGTCCACCTTTATTGGTTCCACTGCAGGGTCAACTTGTTTAAGGGACAGGGGAGTATTTTCTGTGAAGATGTTGGAACCAAGTGCAGTAGACTGCATTAGGAAGGGCATCATCCATGTCGTCATTCTTGGTGAATTACTTAGGGCCCACAGTGTGCTAGGATCTGTGCTTGGCACATTAACAGCATATCATCTTCTGACAGAGCAGATAGAATACACAAGTGAGACAGTGCAGGTCAACCCTTTTATCAGAGTCACAGGATGTCTGAGCAGGAAGTACCTTATTGGAGACCAACACCCTGCATTTCCCAGACAGAAAATGCAGCATCCAGGTGTAAGCTTGAACACATTAGATTTAGAGGGTGCAGAGGAGGCAGGCTCGAGTGGGCAGAATACCGCTGGGTGCCAGACGGCTCTGGTCTCATGCTCCTGAGGAGCCTGCTGGGGTCTCTGGGGTGCTTACCTAACTAGGAGGGGGTGGGAGTAGGCAGGCCCAGGCATGCTAATGAGCCCAGGGGGCCACAAACACTGCTTCCACTTTCAGGCACAAGGTTCAGTCCCTCTCGCCCCACCCCCTCTCCCTGGAACAGGGCTCTGTGTGTGTGTGTGTGTGTGTGTGTGTGTTGCAGGGAACCTTCTCCATCCTTCCTTTTGCTTTCTCCGCAGATTCCACTGTTCCTGGTGCTGGCATAGTTGGCAGTCAGCCCACATGGTCATCCTCTTCCATATGCACTTGGACCGTACCAAGCGCATGGGCTCGGTACGCATGCGTGTCTTCAAGCAGCTGTGCTACGAGTGTGGGACGGCGCGGCTGGATGAGTCGAGCATGTTGGAGGAGAATATCGAGGGCCTGGTGGACAACCTCATCACCAACCTGCGCGAACAGTGCTATGAAGAGGATGGCGGTCAGTACCGCATCAATGTAGCCAGCCGCCGGGACAACGGGGAGCACCGCAGCGAGTTCTGTGAAGCCTGCCAGGCCGGCATCGTACACTGGAAGCCCAGCGAGAAGCTGTCGGAGGAGGAGGCGGCCTCCTACACCTCCAAGCAGAGTTCCCTAATGGGCTTTGGTTACAACTTCTTCTCACTTCGCTGGTGTTTCTTTTGGGCCTTGCTCTGTGTGCTCATTGTCTACCTGCAGTTCTCCTTCCGTAGCTCTGCCTTTCTTTAGGGGAGCTGGTTGGAGGGAGCAGGGTGTGCACATGGGGTTGGGAGTGGAGAAGACACTACTCTGGTTCTGATCTTCTTCTGATGCTGTCCATGATTCTGAACAACTCAGTCACTTCTCTGGTCTCAGTTTAAACCTCTGCAGAATGGGAGATTTGCATTAGGTGATATGTAAGGGTTATTCTATCAAATTTTACAGTAATGAGAGGAAGGGAAATAATTTAATGGAGGTTTTAGAAGTCTTCAGTTTGGTGAGTTTTCCTTCTCCACCTCCATCTCTACGCCTCGTTTTGCTTTTTTCCTGTATCTTGCACCCCATCAGGACCTCATTAAGCCCTATTTCTCCCAGTCTCATTCTCAAGGTCATCTTCAGCTGTCTCTGGCCACTCATGGTTCCCTTTGGAGAGGGTAGCTGCCCTACTCCATAGAGATGTGTAAATCTGGTTCCAACCCCAGTGAAGATACAGCTCTCCCCTCTTCTGTAGAATCTGCTCCCATCATTCTTAGAGGCTCAGTTTTTATCCTGGTGCTAGGGCCTACTAGGCTCAGAGGGCAGGAATTGTCTAGACCTGAGCTGTGCAATATGATAGCCACCAGCCATATGTTGTTGTTGTTAAGTTCTGTCAAGTTGGTTCTGACCCATAGCGACCCTGCCTAGGGTTTCCGAGGAGCTGTTGGTGAGCTTGAACTGCTGACCTTGCAGTTCAAATGGCTTTGCAGTCTGGCGCATTAACCCACAGCGCCACACCAGGATGCCAGCAGCCATATATGGCTATTTAAATTAAAATGAATCTCAATTTTAGAAGCTTAGTTCCTAAGCTAAGCTTCAGTCGTGTTTCAAGTACTGAGCTCTGGTAGCGTAGTGGTTACGAATCGGGCTGCGAACCTTAAGGCCAGCGGTTCGAAACAACCAGCCGCTCCGCAGGAGAAAGATGAGGCTTTCTACTCCCGTAAAGATTTACACCCTCGGAAACCCTGTACAGGGTCGCTATGGGTCGGAACCGACTCAACGGCACTTAACAACAACAACAACATAGGCACATATGACTAGTGATTGCCTCAAAGGCAGTCCTTAAGATTTCAAGCAGTCATAATAGCGCCAGGATGAGGACCCTATCCAGTAGCAGTAAGCCCACTTGGGGTGCTATGTCCATCAGTTCAATGAATGCCATGCACAAGGCACTTGCACAGTGTTGGCCAGGTGCAAGTCTTTTTACTGCCAGAAAGCAAAGAGCAAACAGCAGGAACAGATTTCCCCTGGGCTTGGAAGGCAGGAGAAAGACTCTTCTATGCATGCCCTACGTTGTACCACAGGAGAGGTACCTCAAAGCCCCATAACTGCCTGATTTTATAATCCAGGGGCCACATGATCCACTGAGTCAGGCACGGTTGCCAATTTTCCAGTCTGACAATCCCAGAAGTTTTGTCTCAAAGCCCTAGGGCACTAATAGGGAGAGGAGTGGGGAGAAGCATGACTATTGAACTGATTGAAGGCTCACTACCTTCTTGCACAGTGCAGATGTAAAACATTTGCGTTGTACCAAAGCAGGACAACACCTGCCTGGAGTCTGAAATTCCCATTTAAGATTCATATGTAGATTAATAAACAATAGTGGACACAACTTCAAAGGTGCAGTATGAAATCTTCTGGGGATGGGGCAAGGGCAAGTGGTGTAGTCTGGTAGAGACACAAATAAATATGTAATTTCTGTTTCCTGGCTGTCAGTTGATTGGAATCTATGGGTCCCGGTGTTGTCCAAACTTATTTCCTGGGGGGAGATGGAAAAACAGGCCTGGTCAGCTGATCTTCAGACAGGAAGCAGATCATAGGAGTGGGGTGCCGATTATCTACAGTTCCTTCGTAAGTTCCAGATACCACAACTGCCACAGTTGCATCCTGAAGGAAGTGTCAAAATGAGAGAGAAAATTTTGTTCAAAATGAGTTGTCAGGAGAGGGAAGTTAAGGTAAGTGTTGGGAACAAGTGGGTTACCAGATGGGATTTGTAGAAATGGAAAAATGGAGAACGACATAGCAGTGATGACTATATACCATGCTGTCTCCATGTCATGCTGCTTTTGGGAGTATTGAGCTAGCTTAGAAGTTCTTCAGGTGGACAAGGTCCTCTATATATTTCTTTGGTATATGTTAGCATGCAAATAGAACTCCAGGCACAGTACACTTGGCAGGATGTCCTGAGAGGAAAGCCCTGCATTTAACAACTATGGAGCTCTGGTAGCGTAGTGGTTACGAATCGGGCTGCGAACCTTAAGGTCAGCGGTTCGAAACTACCAGCCGCTCCGCGGGAGAAAGATGAGGCTTTCTACTCCCGTAAGGATTTACACCCTCGGAAACCCTGTACAGGGTCGCTATGGGTCGGAACCGACTCGACGGCACTCAACAACAACAACTCTGGATCTGAAAATAAGCAATCCATGCCCTGGGAGACTTGGTTTTATGATACCCTGACATCAGAGATGAGTCATAGCCAGCCAAGAGCTCAACAGTTGAAAAGTGGCTGCAAGAATCTGAACAGAGGCAGAACTCCAGGCTTTCCTGTTTCATAGAGAGTACCAGGAGTACAAGTGGAAGACCTGTTGGAATTTAGTATGCTGGCAGTACTACTTACTCATGGTGCATGGAGATATTCTGCTACCTTCACATATAAAATACATATCACACAGACTTATGTATGACTGTCCCAGATCCAGGAGATAGTAAGGGATTAGGTAGATGTGGATTTCCTGGTGACAGCAGGCTTTGTGAGATGACGAGAAAGGGGAAGCAAGAGTGGAGAGGCAGAGTAGCACCTGTCTCCCAGAACCTCTCCCTTTGCACAGTCAATGAGATACCTTACCTGGGGACTGCACTTGCAATGCCCACTTCCTTATATGACTTAGGTGGGTAATTTTACTCATAGGCTGGGATCTAAAGATCCACTAACAATTATTGTTTGGGATAGGAAAGAGAACTCTCCTACTTACACCCTGTATAATTCCCTAACATTTACACCCTTCTAGATTCCACCTTTATAGCCTCTGCCCTAAGCTGGGGCCTTAGAATTGAAGGTGAGGTTCCAGGCTGGGGTGGTAGTTTGGATGTACTCTCAGAAATGGCCTGCTTTAGGCACTGAGTACCTCTCCACTGTACATAATGCAGAACTGGTGTTTCTCTTTCTCCAACTTTGGCAAGGGATTTCTAATGGCTTGTCTGGATTCCTCTGTGGACCTGCATGAGCAAAAGGCAGAGTAATTTGGAAGAATCTCAGCCTCTGCCTTTTTAGGTTGGAAACAGCAGCGTAGGTACAGGGAAAAGCATTAAGCTGGACTGTTTGTGAAGTAGAGAGTCCATGGGTTTCTGTGTTCTCTTCTGTCAATCTACAGATGCTGCTCAGCTGGGCCTGTGTAGTGAGCGTGCCCCCTGGGGCTGGGAAAGAGAGGGTAGTTGCTCAATTGCAGACACATGGCAACTTCTGGGAACTTGAAAGTCAGAAGCCCAGGGAATCAAGTAATCCTCAAGGGACTGTCTTCCCCTGCCTTTGTCCACCCTGGGATACTCAGGGGGTCAGGGAGGGACAGGATAGGTTTGAAGTGGTGCTAGCCACAGCTCTCACTGAAACTGTGGTTTGTGGGGCTAAGGGTGGACTGCCTAGATTGTGTCAAGGGGGAGGATTGATCTCAGATGAGTCAAAGAAGCTGGGGCATCTGAAGTGAAGGATGGAAGCTGAGGGATGAAGGGTCACTGAAAATGGAACAAGGGTGACATTAAAATAGGTGAAATGAGGTAAGCCTGAGAAACATTCCAGGAGATGAATCTATTTACTTCTTCTCTATCTGCTTATTTATATAAATGTACTGGGTTTTTTTTTTTTTCATATTTAACTTGAATAACCCTTCTCTGACCCCACTGTTGTTATTAAGTGCCGTCTAGTTTGTTTCAACTCATAGAGACCCTGTATAGGTTTTCTGAGGCTGTAAATCTTGGCAAGGGCAGAAAGCCACATCTTTCTCCTGTGTAGCAGCTGGTGTGCTAGAACCACTGACCTTGTGGTTCATAGTTCAGTGCTTATTGTACAGAGCCACCACACTCCCCCTTTCACCCCATAGCCCCCTTTAGCTAGTGCCATGTATGTTTTTATTCCTTCAAAGCCAAGTTTCTCGTAGTGGTTAAACTATATTTATCTGCCTGCTTTCCATGTCCCGAAAACTGCTACCCCTCCTTTATTTTCAAACCAGTGTCTACTTTTCTGTCCATATCTCACTTGAACTGTCTGTTAAATATTATATATCCTCCTTGAAGATCTCCTTCGGCTTCCGTAGCTGCTCTTGTTCCATGTTTTCCCACTTCTGTGCTCTTTCCCCTAAGATTTCCTTTGTGGAACTTTCTGTCACCCATTCCTCATTTGTTCGTGTTTCCTAGGATTCTTCTTTCACACTGCTTGATTTCCATGAATAACATGCCCACTCTTTTTTTTTTTTCTTAAATGTTTTATTGTGAATTATGTGATAGTTTACATGGGAGAACATTAGTTTTACATTCATTCTATCGTATATCATCTCATTACCATGGTTACAATCCCCTCCATGCAATCCTTGCCCCCACCCCCACACACCCCAGGTCTTCAGCACACAGTCGCTCTCCCTCTCTGGATCTAAAGTCTCCAGCTGCTCCATGGCTCCACGTCATCATCTCTGGCTCCATTTCAGGCATCACTGCTTCTCTGGGTAGGGTCCCACTCTCTGCTCTTCTCCCTTGATGGTCCTAGGGACCGCTGCTCCTAGACTGAAAAGCTAATCACTCACCTTCTTGCTATAAAACGTATACTTTTACATTTCCGACCCTCACAATCAGTCCTGATAACAATTATTCACTATTGTATCACAAGAGACCCGTCTGCATTTCATTGCATCAGCCCCGCCTAGTCAGATTGAATACTATTCACTGGAGATTCTACCTTCCTCCAGGCCCTCTGGATCTAGCTTCCCTCTTGAAAGCTTGTAAGCCAG